ACAACACACACACCACACCAACCACACAACCACACACACACCACAACAACACGACCACACACACACCACACACACACCACCACACAGCCACACCACAACACAGACCACCACACACACACACGCACACCACACACCACCACACACACACAACAGCCACAACACACACACACACACCACCACACACCACCCCACGCCCACACCCACCACACCGGCACCACACGCACGCACCACACACACACACACACACGACCACACACACACACCCGACACCACACACCACACACACACACAACCCACACACATACCACAAACACACACACCACACACACCACAACCATACCACACACAACACCACACACACCACACACATACACAACCACAACCAAAAACTACCACTACACCACACACACACACAACCAACACGCACCACACACATACCACACACACAAACACCCCACACCACCACCACACCCACACACACACACACACAACACCCACCACACACACTAAGATACACCACACACACGCACCAACACAAACCACAACAACACACACACACACCAACAAGTACCACACACACACACACACACAACGCACTCACACACAACCACACACACCACACACAAACCACACACATACCACACACACACCACACACACACCACACACATACCACACACACACCACACATGCACCACACACACACCACACACACACACCACATACACACACACACGCACACCACACACACACACATGCACATGCACATGCACACACACACACCACACACATGGCTTCTCAGATGTGAAGCTTCATAGCATCCAGTGCTGAACTGGACGTGATGCCCTCTGTCCAGGCCTTTCCAGCTGGACCTCCACTCTGGGTCTGGCCTCTGCACCGCCTTGACCTTCTTCCATCTTTCCGCTACCCAAATAGAGGTGCCCCAAGGTGCAGCCTCACTTCCCTGGATGAGCACAGTGCTTTCCACAGATGCCACCATCACATGCCAGCAGGACCCTTGCAGACCTCTGTCTGCAGCTGTCAGTTCTCGCTGACCTCTGACTCCCTTTTTGACATTGCGAACTGTGGCACCCCGAATCCCACCCAACAGCCACTTCCCCCGCCCCAGACCAGCTCCTTCCTCTTATTTTCGGCTGACTTCCCATCAGTCACCCTGACTCAAGGTATCTGGGTTATTGCTAACAATGTTCCCTTCCTCACTCACTCCGTTCCAACAGGGGCCTGGTGCTGCCGCCCCTGTGCTGCTGCCAGCACGCGCGGCCTGTGCCCGCCGCTGCCCGGGCAGAAACGCGCCCGCGCCCCCAGCTCGCGGGCTGCCTCTGCACGGGCAGGGCCTCCCTGCCCCGTCCCTCGCCACGTGCACGGGGGACCCTCTTCCTAAGGCCCAGGCCTTAAGAGCAAAGGTATCGTGAAGTGTTCTACTTACCCAAAAGATAAGAGCCCATCCCCTTACATAGCTACCTGCTGAGGGTAGGGCTGTGCCGTTCCCACGCTGAATTCCTTTGCAGTTTCTTCTGACAGTGACCATGTCACTTTCCCTTAGCAGCCACCACAGGGTCTTACATTCATGACAGGTCTTAGACCACGCCTGCTGGCGGGCAAGGCTGCGGCCGCACTGACAGACCCAGCGATATTCTTCACCGCTGTCCTGTAAC